AGTTCATGTTTATACAAACGCTCAGCAAAAAACATACACCTATTCTCGTTAAACCAAATGTGTCGTAAAAGAATAACGCTTCCCAAAGCAAAGCAGATTGCACAAAAAGTCAAGGACGCTCCAAAGAAATACAAGTCATGACGATGTTCAACAGGTAAGCTACCATCAATGGCTGATATATTGGAAAACGGCAGAGACATCACGCTCTCCAGTCTCTTGACGTATCAGCAAGTCTTGGATCTTGCTGAGAGCCCCATGCTCTCCGTCATTGACAAAATGATTCCAAGTACTAGTGTCACCGTACAACATGGCTGGCGCCTTAATGTATTGTGTTCCCTCCGGTCGGCATCGCTTGCATTTGAACGTGTCATGTGTATCGCTCCGCGTTTCCGGTTTGAATTGAAAGAGCTCTCGGAGGGATTCCAGCGAGAAGTGTCGCTCGACGTCCTCGGCCGAATCCACGACGCACGAAGAAAGCGACTGTTTATGAGACTGACGCTGGAAGATCTTCTCCTCAATTGATCCAGTCGCGATGAAACGGTAGACAAAACAGTCTTTCTTCTGGCCATCACGCCACACTCGTGCCAATGCTTGCTGATCGGCAGCTGGATTCCAATCGGGATCAAAAAGAACAAGGCGGTTTGCACCTATTAAGTTCAGGCCGCAGCCACCAGCCTTACTGCTCAACAGGAAGACAAACTCTTCCCCATCAGGGTTATTGAACTTATCGACCAGCTTCTGTCGTTTCCCAACCGTCATGGTTCCGTCTAGTCGCAGGGAGCCGTACCCCCGGGTTCTGCACAGCTTCTCAAACAGGTCGAGGGTCTGGGTGTAGTTGCTAATCAAAACAATCTTGTCATTAGTATCTTGGCGAATGCGCGCTAGCATTCGATCCAAAACCATCATCTTTCCTGAATACCAAGATTTGATATCTCTATCACGCCCTCGTGCTTCCGGCGGGACATAGTCCTCCGGGAAAGTGTACTCGCAACCCGGAAGGTCATTAGAGAGATTAAGGAGGTCCGGGTGATTGCAAAGTTTCTTTAGAAGGCCGATTGCCTTCAAGGGTTGGCTTCCCTTTCCGCGGAGTAAGCTTTTGATTTCGGGACTCTGAATGAAATGCTTATAGAGGCCCAGTTGGAATTCGGACATGTTGCAGAAAACAACATGTTCGTACTTGACGGGCAAGTACTTTGACAAAATGTCGTTCGTGCGTCGTATGATAAACTTGTTTACGATGCTGGAGAGTTCGGCAAGACGCTCATCACCCTTCTTGAGGTCTTCTTCGGTTCCTGCGGCATCTCTTCCTCTAAGAATAGGCAATTCGAACCTTTTCCGGAACTCATTCTGCGACCCCAGTAGATTAGGGTTCGCAAAATGAAGAAGAGCAAAGTATTCCGAGAGATCGTTCTGAATGGGAGTGCCGGACAAGATTACTCGACGCTGTACATTCAGGCCGTTGAGCGCTGTCCATGTCAAACTCTCCTTATTCTTCAATCGATGTCCTTCGTCACAAAGAAGCAGGCCGATGGGACTGTCCCTCAGTGTATCGACGTATAACCGGAGTGTTTCATATGATATAATGAGTACTGGTCTGACAATAGACCGACCCGAAGCAATGGCCCATTGCTTCATCTGACTGATGAGCTCCGTCTTCGAGGCTTTACCATCGACCGCAAATGGTGTGATGGCATCCTTGCCCAACCATTTTACTGCAACTGTTAGCAGATATGTGATCCAGTAGCGAAGCCAACTCACCAAGTTCATTGGCCCAATTTCCGACCAAACTTGACGGGCAAGCGATGATGCACTTCTGTATTGTTGTTACTCCCGCTTCCGGGGACTGCTTGAGTAAAGTCCACATCAACGAGATACATTGAAGCTATCACCACTATTAGTCTCCTGTTCCGTGTCACAGGCCGTTCAGCTCACCGTCTTGCCCAGACCCATCCCATCTGCCATGATGCAACCATTCGCATTCTTGTCAACCATGCCAGTTGTACAACGATAAAGAAACTTTTGTCGGCGCATTAGTATATAGCAACAGAGCCTGTGTGGAGCGAATGCTAACCTTGACACCCTCAACCTGGTGAGGTCGTAGCACTTTCGCCAGCCGTGGATCTATAACAACCGGGACCTTCGGTCGCCCTTCAGTCTTCTTCTTGAGCCCAAGAATATCTGCCAAGCTCTTGTGTACCAATGGCTCATCCAATTTTGGCTTCTGCTCCTCGGCATCGACCGTGGCCTCGTCCTTCGTTTCTGGCTCATTGACATCATCGACTGTTGGATCATATAGCACTATAGCAAACTCCCCGCTCGGATCATGCAATGGCTTCACAACAAATGTAGCGCCTTGCCTCATACCAAGCGTAGGCGCTGGCCTAGAGCTATTATAGGCATCAGGCGACTTATTGATCAGAGGAATCTTAAATCTTTGCTTGAAAGTCATCTCTTTGTCCTTGACCTTGAAGCTAGGAAACCTATTCGCATCTCTTGTTGCCAGCGCTAAGCGGTCCTCGTTTGTATAAGGCTTGACGCTGTCGTCGTCCACCGTGCCATCGGCCCCTGCATAGTTCACCTTCCTACGTTTCCTCGCTGGCTTGTCTGACGCTCGTGTAGCCGTGGCTAGGCCTGGGCATTTGAAGGGTTTCGATAGACGGTCGACGCTGTTCGTGGAGCTGGCCTGCAGCGGCTTGGACGGTGTGCCTGCACCATCTTGGTTTACGACTGGCCGTGGCCGATACCTGAATACGTAAGCTTGTGCTGCGCGATAAATTCGAGGAAGTCATTATTGATCTTACATTAGCACTTCTCTATCAAATACTCGTGGTTGACTAGGATCGTGTCAGTTGGCGGTTGTGGTTGTCAATAATGACCGGCCGAACTCGACGCGTGTTTGCCACTGCCTAGCGCGTCTCCCGCATCTTGTTGGCAACACCAAAGTATCACGTTGTCACGTGATTTTATGGCAATAGTATAGAGTAGCCGGCTCATAGAGGTATCTCGCTAGGCAAATCCACTTTGAGCCAAGTCCTTTGATGAAATATATTATATAGTACTTGAGTAATTCTTAGATGACACTATATCCGGATTCCGGCTTGTTCAATAGCACACGTACGTGCCATGGCCTTGAACGCAACGTCCGGTTAGGGAAGCGCCACTCGAATGAGGCATCCAAGAAAATGAAAACTTCAAGCATTCTCTACAGAAAAGTAGCTCGACTAAATACACTTGAGTATATAAAGGACATATTACTAGTGCTACTGCCAGGGAGATTGGCCACTTCAAGAGTTTAGTCCAGATAGCATTCACATCAGATGATGCTGCATGATCTGCATAAATATATATAGTCTTGGCATGAACCTATGCAGCCCTACTGCATGACAGACACATTTCTTTTTCCGCACTAGTAGTACGTAGCACTCATCTCAAGACAGCACTGTTTTCTGTCTACAGCACTTGAAAATGCAGTCTGCTCAGCATCAAAAAAGCACAATGCTATTGGACTTGCAAACAAGAGTAGGACGGATGGAAAGTTTCTACTATAGCCCTTTCAGTATAGCGTCCGGTTCGCCTTCTCAAGGTGGGACCGTTTAGTCAATGGAACCTCAGCCCGTCGAATGATAATAACCAGGTTGTTCCTACCGTAGTCACAATGCTCATTATCACCATTTGCTGCTGAATCGTTCATTCAGCACTGGCCCCTCGGCCCATGTCTTCCGATTTCTGGGCTGGCTACCTTAGCGGTGCCATTGGAATCATCATCGGCAATCCCCTCGATGTCATCAAAGTGCGGTTGCAGGCAGGACGCACTCCAGATATCGCCGCATCAACCACACCACAGCATTTGAGTCGCTTTGATAGCGCTACTTCCCTGGTTCGAGGTTTGCAAATATTCCGATCATGTAAATTACGCGTCTAGTATTAACCGTTTCATCAGGCGCCGCTGCCCCAATCCTCGGATATGGGGCCCTCAATGCACTACTCTTTGTGGCTTATAACCGATCACTGAAGTTCCTGGATAGTTCAATCATTGACCCTACAAACCCACAAGGTGTCTCCTTAAGCAAGATCTGGCTTGCCGGTGCTGCAGGTGGGGTGGCCAGCTGGACTGTGTCATCTCCGACGGAGTTCATCAAATGTAGGGCCCAGCTTGACTCACGCCCCGGGGTGTCGTCATGGACGGTTGCGAAAGACATTGTCCGAACACGCGGCTGGACGGGCCTTTATTTCGGAGGAGGGGTCACTTGTGCGAGAGACGCAATTGGCTATGGGTTTTAGTATGTGAATCCTTTCCCCGGATCTTCCCCCGCGATTTCATTGCGGCTCTTCACAGAATATTGACATACATCCTTCTTTGCAGCTTTTGGTCTTATGAATACTGCAAGCGGCTTACGGCCTCTAATGACGATGATGCGACCATGACTGCTACTAAAGTCTTATTATGCGGTGGAATTGCTGGGATTGTTACCTGGGCATCTGTCTTCCCACTAGATGTGATCAAGACTAGACTGCAGGCGAGAACGATTGAATTGTCCCCTGAACATCGCCCCTTGATGCAGCCTTCAGCCAAGCCATATACCGCAAGTGCCATCCAGATTGCCAAAGAAGCGTATCTCAATGAAGGACTCAAAGCCTTTTATCGCGGCCTAGGAGTCTGTAGTGTGAGAGCCTTCATAGTCAATGCTGTTCAGGTATGTCAACCCGGGTTTGGAATATTGCAACCCATTGCTAACGATCCATTCCAAGTGGGCAACATACGAGTGGCTGATGAAGTATTTACAAAATCCATAAACGTACAATGCAACAATGCCCAAGCATCTACAAACTACGTACGGAGTTCTCCGCAAGGATACGCGCATCTCAATATTGATGTGTATTATTGCAGCTCGTAAATTAAATTCGTCCTAAAGGAGCCGTGTCTGATAAAGTGGGGCCAAGCTAGATGGGGGCTCCGAGAAACGGCAGTTTTGTTGGTTTTACCGCAGAACGAAACCGGCGTATCCGGGAACTTTCCACCCCCACTGGCGGTTTTCGGCGCATGTGGTTTCACGTGTTGTCCAGCGATTTTGGCCCATCGCTGATTGGGTGATTCTTTCGTCGACATGCAGCCAGTAATATCGTCCGTGAAACAACGACGTCAAAACGGCGTAGATGCGCGAAAATTTTTTTCAAGCCCATTGAGAGTAGATATGTTGCCAGCAGAGCTCTTGCCGATGCTCTTGGAGCTATCCTGCATCGCAGTGACAGCCGAGAAAGCACTGCGATAGGCAATTTCACTTCATGGCGAGAATCTAATCCTCCATAAGGACCATCTCGGTGGTCTCTTGCGACCTCACACCATTGTCTGTACCCAAGCCGACAGCAGCCTCAGCAGCCTTCTGTGTGTGTGCCTCTTCGCGCAAGATGCGGAGTCTAATAACAGGCGCATAGGTCAGCATTTATGTGTCAAAAAAGTATTTGCGCCCGAGGCTGCGACATCGTAGATATGTTGGCCACACACCTTCTTTTGTGGTTCTTGCCCTTCGTATGGGCGGCCATATTATGCTCGCTCTCAAACCATTTGGAGCACTCGACGCAATAATGCTTTCCTAGGCCGGGAAGATCCTCTTCGTCTTTCGTAGCTTTGTATAGTTCGAGGTGTCTCGCGGACGCGATATCAGCCCGGACCTGATCATAATCTCTATCAATTTAATCAGATCATTAGCAGTCTATTCAGCTTTACGCAGCCCTTCCAACTTGAACCCTCATGATAGTGATCATTCAGGAATTAGCCTACATACCTGGTCCTGCGCTTCGTCTTAATTTTCCTAACAGCTCCCATTTTGATAGACTGCGGCCCAAAAAAAGAACTGCCTGATGGATTTGCTAGTGAGCTGTCGCAAAAGTGTTTTTCCACCGATATACGGAATGAAACTAAGACTTTAGGCGGTGCAAGAGCGGGTCGCTTATCACCAAAATTCCGCCTTTGTGTGCGAAAGAAGTATTTCCTGAAACATGTTGCTCATTATTGGTCAAAATCAGCTGGGTCTTGGCGGCGGGCCGCGGGATTCCCATCGGTAGGCCTCGGCTCTGACTCGGCTCTGTCAGCGCTTTTGGTCGCTTCCGTACGGCCATTTCCCCGGTGTCTCGTAATTTATGACGTTGCCATGTTCCGGCACGTTGCTCCGGAAAGCATCTCGTCCAGTTGCGATCCAGGTGAAATAATACGCTAACTGCCACCATGTCTCCTAAGCAACCCAACTCATTCAAGCGGTCTAGCATTACTGACGAGGTTGGGCGCGTAGAATCTGTCATATTATTTCATTTTCATGAATGTAGAATTTCCAAATGATTTTTTTGATCTATGTTTGCAAGTCTTGATGAAGCTTTAAGCTAGGATGTAGTAGAAGTGAGTGACGTCGATGATGTTCCCCCAGGATGAATGGATGTAATACAGGGCACATGATTGGACTATGTGCCTCACATGCCCTGTGCACGCCGCCGCACAGGCTGGTCGGAATTACAAGGTATGAACACAGCAGTAGTGAAGTTAGGTTTTACCTAGGTAAGACACTAGTTCGTGGCAGTCCATGGGGGAAGAATGCATGGGGGAGATAATAATACCCAGTAGATCAAACTATGCTTTTTGAGGGTCAGCTGAAAGGAGCAAAACCACTGACAGTGAGGCCTTTTCGAATCCAAAGGCAACCTTACGTTGACCGGGTAAAGCCATTATGGGTCCTTCTTAGTTTTTTTCATTTACGGAGTGGTCAGAAAGGAGGGAGCGAGGTCTGCAGGCCAAACGGAAATTACAGGTGTATCCGTATCCATACGGTAAGAAAGGGGTCCCACGGATGGTCCAGCCACCTTCCTTCTCTCCGGTCGCATGCAACGCTTGCGTAAAGGTCGGTACTGTCAGGAGCGGTTACGGGTCCTCTTCTCCGGTTCAGTAAATCGCTCTCGGTGGTGGAAACAAGAATTCTTTCCCACTCAAGCTTCCTTTTTATCTACTCCATTTTCCCTTTCTTCCTTTATCCCTTTCCTTTCCTCTTCCTTTCCCACTCCACTCCATCTTTTGCTGCTTCCTCCCGTCGAAGCTAGCTTTTGCTGTTGTTTGGATTGGCTCTCCTGTGTTGCGGCCCTGCCCACCTCGCATAGAGAGCTTCCACCATGATTACCACAAGGCTTGCGCGCATGGGTGCGCTGGTAAGTCCATTCCTGACACGTTTGTCCCCCGTCTGGCGAAGAAGTCATGACATTCTGTTCAGGAATGAAATGCATCTAGCTGGACGTCTTTGTAGCTCAATGGAAACTAACCAGGTCTGCTCTCTAGGCCCCTAAGTCCCGCCTTGTAAGCGTTTACCCGCAATCCAGTTCAAGCTCGCATCACCAAATTACAGCGGGAGTGCGATGGTTCGGTGAACAGGAATACTAATAAAATGTGCAGATGCTCGGGGCTCGGGGTATGGCCACCGTCACCGACTCTCCCCTCGACAAGAAGGTCGAGATGTCCAACCTGGAGAAGGTGAGTGAAACTTTCCATTACGTCTCGGCTGGCTTCGGGTAGCGCGGGCGCCAGATTTGGGAATATGATCCGCTAACAATGCCTGTGTAGGGTAACTACATCAACTACAAGTATGATAGCACTCTTGATTGTCTGGAGAATCGGGCGCGACCTCTCAATTGCGTCTTCTCAGGTCAATGAGCTGTAAGCTAACATGACTACCACTTCTATAGGAAGATGTCCGAGAACCTCGACATCGTTCGTCGTCGTCTGAGCCGTCCTCTCACATACGCCGAGAAGGTTCTGTACTCTCACCTTGACGACCCCCACGGACAGGAGATTGAGCGTGGCAGCTCCTACCTCAAGCTTCGCCCCGACCGTGTCGCTTGCCAGGATGCCACTGCCCAGATGGCTATCCTCCAGTTCATGTCCGCTGGCATGCCCTCCGTCGCTACTCCCACTACCGTCCACTGTGACCACTTGATTGAGGCCCAGGTCGGTGGCGACAAGGATCTTGCTCGTGCCAACGACATCAACAAGGAAGTCTACGACTTCCTTGCCTCCGCTACTGCCAAGTACAACATCGGTTTCTGGAAGCCCGGTTCCGGTATCATCCACCAGATCGTTCTGGAGAACTACGCTTTCCCCGGTGGTCTGATGATCGGTACCGACTCTCACACCCCTAACGCTGGTGGTCTCGCCACTGCTGCCATTGGTGTTGGTGGTGCTGATGCCGTCGACGTCATGGCCGGTCTCCCTTGGGAGCTGAAGGCCCCTAAGGTCATCGGTGTTAAGCTCACCGGCCAGATGTCTGGCTGGACTACTCCTAAGGGTAAGTTGATTTCTGATCTGTCTTGCACAATCGGACGAGCGTTAACAGTAAAATTTAGATATCATCCTCAAGGTTGCTGGTCTCCTCACCGTCAAGGGTGGTACTGGCGCTATCATCGAGTACCACGGACCTGGTGTCAACTCCCTGTCCTGCACTGGTATGGCCACCATCTGTAACATGGGTGCTGAGATTGGTGCCACCACCTCCATGTTCCCCTTCAACGACCGCATGTACGACTACCTGAAGGCCACCAAGCGTCAGCACATTGGTAACTTCTCCCGCGAGTACGCCAAGGAGCTCCGCGAGGATGAGGGTGCGGAGTACGACCAGCTGATCGAGATCAACCTGTCTGAGCTCGAGCCCCACGTTAACGGTCCCTTCACTCCTGACTTGGCCACCCCCATCTCCAAGTTCAAGGAGGCCGTTGATGCCAACAAGTGGCCCGAGGAGCTGAAGGTCGGTCTTATCGGCTCTTGCACCAACTCCTCCTACGAGGACATGTCCCGTGCCGCCTCCATTGCTCAGGACGCCCTTGACCACGGTCTCAAGTCCAAGTCTCTCTTCACCGTCACCCCCGGTTCCGAGCAGATCCGCGCTACCATTGAGCGCGATGGTCAGCTCAAGACCCTCGAGGAGTACGGTGGTGTCATCCTTGCCAACGCCTGCGGTCCTTGCATTGGACAGTGGGATCGTAAGGACGTCAAGAAGGGTGAGCCCAACTCTATCATCTCCTCCTACAACCGTAACTTCACCGGTCGTAACGATGCCAACCCCGCCACCCACGCTTTCGTCGCCTCTCCCGACCTTGTCGTCGCCATGACCGTTGCCGGTACCCTCAAGTTCAACCCTCTCACCGACAAGCTGAAGGACAAGGACGGCAAGGAGTTCTTGCTCAAGCCTCCCACCGGTGAGGGTCTCCCTGCTCAGGGCTACGACCCCGGCCGTGACACCTACCAGGCTCCTCCCACCAACCGCGACGGCGTCAACGTCGCTGTCTCTCCTTCCAGTGACCGTCTCCAGATCCTTGCTGGTTTCGAGAAGTGGGATGGCAAGGATGCCACTGACATCCCTATCCTGATCAAGTGCCAGGGCAAGACTACCACCGATCACATCTCCATGGCTGGCCCGTGGTTGAAGTACCGTGGTCACCTTGACAACATCTCCAACAACATGCTGATCGGTGCCATCAACGCCGAGAACGGTGAGGCCAACAAGGTCAAGAACGCCTTCACCGGCGAGTACGATGCTGTCCCCGCCACTGCCCGTGACTACAAGGCCCGTGGCATCAAGTGGGTTGTCATCGGTGACTGGAACTACGGTGAGGGTTCTTCCCGTGAGCACGCCGCTCTGGAGCCCCGCCACCTTGGTGGTCTTGCCATCATCACCCGCTCCTTCGCTCGTATCGTAAGTGCTATCCAGTCTTTACTATCAAAACCACCGGGACGCGAACTAACATTTTCCTTTAGCACGAGACCAACCTGAAGAAGCAGGGTATGCTTCCTCTTACCTTCTCCGACCCCGCCGACTACGACAAGATCAAGCCCGAGGACAAGGTCGACCTCCTCTGCACTGAGCTCGAGGTTGGCAAGCCCGTCACTCTGCGTGTCCACCCCAAGGAAGGTGCCTCCTTCGACGTCAAGCTCAGCCACACCTTCAACGAGTCCCAGATCGAGTGGTTCCGCGATGGTTCCGCCCTCAACACCATGGCCCGCAAGGCTGGTAACTAAATCAAATGGCGATTGCCAACATGCATGACATGGGCCTCATAGGCCCGTCTGTATATTATGATCGCTGTTTTTGTGTTTGTTGCGAAAAGATATGATACCTGAAAGATCTGCTTGCGGGGTTTGGTTATCCTACCCTCGCGCCATGGCAGTCTGCTCTGATGCCAAACAACTGCATTGGAAGCGAAAGCGGCTGCCTATGGTACCTCTATGATGGGAATATCCGGCGTCGTTTTTCGAAAAATTTAACGATTTGTTTCTGTTGCCGCTCTGGGCCTGTTTTCTTTTGTACCCCTGTGATTTTCCGGTGGACTACATGGATATATCTTTGTTTTTGTTTTATATCATACACTGTATGTTAGGGCTTGCGTGCATACCACATTTCCTTCTGTTCCAAGATGGATCTTGCCCGTAGACGTTGTAATCAGTTTTCTGTAGCACTCCCGGTGAGCAGAACGGTCACTTACACCCCCAATGGCGTATTCGGACATACATATGTTACAATTTGCCCGATTTTGCGACTTGCTGCAATTAGGCCTGACTTCATTGGTGCTGACATAACTAAGTTCCCTCCTCAACCGAGGCCTACACGGCTGTTCACCCCGCCTCGGAAACGTGACTCTGATAGTATAGCCGATCCATCATGATAAGGAGTGTTCAGATGTAGTAGACTCATAGTATCTGCTCCTCTTTACTCACAATCTCTCAGCTGCATCCAAAATTGAAAGAATATCATTGTCGGCCTCTTTCATCTCTGGAATCCCCACGTGACTGAGTACAGCTGACCCACTAGCCTGATTGCTCGTGAGTCTGATGATTCATTCCTATTCTTACTCTGATCGTCCTGCTGAGTATTAGTCCTATATAGAAGACTGCGATATAGACCGACGATAGTACATACCTCAAGTGATTGCTCGGTTGTCTCTGTGGTAGGGAAAGATACTTGTAAGTATGTTGCTTATGTTCTGCGCAACCTCTAGAGTCAATGCGTGCTCTCGGACCCAACCAAAGAATCCGACGCAGTGCAGATGGCTAATGCGAGTTGGTGTCTGGCAAGTCGCAGATCAATCGCACTGAAGTGTGGTATATGCTGGAGACATGGCTACCCAGCTAGTCTCTCTGGCGGAGGTGGAGAGGCTCAGCGCCTCGGTCGTACGGATATTGGGGGGCAATCCCGGCAAGGTGAGTTAATGTTGAGATAACACACCGGTCTTGATGGACATAGAAACTGATATACCTTTCTTCTAGTTCACTCTGCAAGGTTTGTTCTCTCTCTCACACACTTTTAGCGGTGCAGGCGTGTCATCCTAACCGAAATTCCAACAGGCACGAATACGTATCTAATCGGGCGAGGTCGTCAACGCATCCTCATTGACACCGGTCAGGGTGAACCCTCCTGGGCAGCCCGGCTCAAGACTCTTTTGGCAGAAGAGAATGCAACTGTGCATCAGGCACTCCTTACGCATTGGCATCCAGACCATGTTAAAGGCGTTCCTGACCTCTTAGCATTATGTCCGGACGCTATCATCTACAAAAATGATCCAGACCTCGGCCAAGAGAGCATTGAAGACGGTCAGATCTTCAGTGTTGAAGGTGCAACGCTACGAGCATACCATACCCCGGGTCATACGGTTGACCATATGATGTTTGTCCTTGAAGAAGAAGACTCTGTCTTTACGGGTGATCGTGAGTATCATGGCATTCTCTACTTCCTGCCTCATGGCTAACTGCGCTTGTCAGATGTCTTGGGCCATGGCACGAGTGTCTTTGAGGACCTTTCGTCCTATATATGCAGCCTAAAGCGAATGCAGAACCGGGTTTCGGGTCGCGGCTATCCGGGCCACGGAGCTGTTATCGAGAATGCGACAGCAAAGATCACAGAGTACATCAAGCACCGCCAACAGCGAGAGGATGAAGTGGTTCGTGTTCTCCGATATAATCACCTCGATGTCGCAGATGGGGAAGCATCTCCGGAGCGTAAACGGTCTTGGACGCCACTGGAACTAGTCAAGGTGATTTACAAAGATGTGCCAGAAAGCCTTCATCTGCCTGCTTCTAATGGAGTGTTGCTTGTTCTGAAGAAATTAGAGGAAGAAGGCCGGGTAAGCCGAGATGTTGATGGGCGATGGGTTCTAGAAACTGGACGATCTGCGCTTTGAAGGATTATGAGAAGGACTGGGTTGTTGAGTTATCATCATAGTAGATATATTAGTAGATCTTTGTTTCGGGATTATATGGCATATGTTATTAGGGATGCGATGCTAGCCGCTCACCGATGCAAGAAGATGCCTGTGACCGCCATGCAGTGCGTGCATATTCACCTAATCATAGACATACTATGATGTTATTCCTGTCAATTCACAACCATCATCCCTTACATGCTTCCAATGCTACCCAGTATAGACATACCGTGCTCATCAACGAGAAAAACATAGATCGTCACATCATTATTGTAGTACTAGTGAAGCTTTTAGCAAATTCGCTCCCCCTTCCTTCGGCGTTAATAACCTTGTCAACTAGCGGTCTGATTTCATCGCATCAGTCTTACCACACAACAAGAATGACACCGAATGTAGTAAGAGAATTGAAAACAGCTGTCTCAGATTATCCAAGATAGAAGCAACTAAGAAACATAGATATGCTAGATATGATGCCATATAGTTCCCATGCAGTAATAATGGACCCTCTGTTACTAGTAGTGATTGGTTGAGACCGACTTCATTATGACTATCGAGACTCTTATCGTCCAGTTAACCTTAGGAGCAGCGAGATCCGAGTACCAGGTAGAGAGAGATAATGGGTGGAAAATGTTCTCTGGTTATGTCCCCACATTAGAACTTGAGCTACCAAGACTGACTGACTGACTTGCATCCTGCGCACTGATCTTATCTGACAAAGAAGTCCCCTCTCGAATCAAGTCAAACATACGATTTTTGTAAGTCTATGCACCGAGTGTGCCATGGAATGCTATTAGGTAAAATGGCCAACTGAACTGCATAGCAGTTACCTCACCTGCAAGAGGCACCAGACAGTATTCAGTCAGTCCTTTTGTCTATACTAAGGAATGTGGCTTTTACCATAAGACGTGGCGAGTTTCAGAAGCATTAAGATATACAGAGTCAATGAATCCATTAATGATGGGATAAAATAGTATGGAGAGTCCAGACCCGTCCATAACAGCGGGGTATTGATTTCACCACCCGACTAAAAGCGCCTCTCGGGCAGCAAGAAGGGAAGAAAAGTTAACAAGAAGGGAGAGAGTGTATGTGCTGAAATCCTGCAACGCTCGTGTTTGTTCGTACCTTTGCGGGGATCAACATTCATCTAAAGTATGCTGATGACTTGCTTTTCTCCCCACGCCACCCAGAATGTTACTGAGAGTGAGTAAGTAGTCAGGTTGGATTCTATACTACTGACCAGAATCAGAGACAGTAGCCTTTAGTACTACTGGGGTGACATTACAATGTTGAACCGTCATCAGGCCATTTGGATTGGGTAGACGAATCAAGTTACATGAACCCCAAGCAGCCGTGGGACCTGAAATGAGGAAGTAGGTATCTCAGTAAGTAACTCATAATAGATTTCCCTCGTTGAGGGGAAACTGGAAGTGTTGGCATCATCCAAAGCCAAGGGCGAGTGTGAGTGGCTGGCCAGATTCCCGCATCCATTGCGACCGCTGGTCATCTCTGACTTCATCGCCCACTTCGTCGGAACTACTACTCTTGTCCCCTTGTTTCCCTCCCCCCAATATTCTTTCCCCAACTCATCTTTCCACCACACCTCTTTTTTTTTTTCTTCCCCCACTTCTCGTCATCTCTTTCCTGTGTAAGCGATAGGCTGTGAAGGAGAGTCCCTCAAAAAAAATAATATTTCAAAGGAGACAAAAATAAAAAAGAAGGGAGTTACAAGCAGCCTGTCAGGGTGTGTGCTGTGATCGATAATCATTTTCCAACCTACAACTTGCGACATTCCGGAATAACAAACTGACTCTGCTTGCTCGCTGGCCCACTCCGTCTTCCTTCTCACTGCTTTTTCCCTGTCGATGAACTTGCTAGTGAGGAGCTCTAGGTGGACTCCCGGCACTACTGCTCTTGGTTCTTCTTCGGCCCAAACCTGGGTTACTTGGTCCGCGCGCCGGTCTCTGAAGTGAGGTCACTCCCTCAATTCTTCCCCGCCGCCTTTAAGCTGCTTCCCAGCATCAGGAAGCACCAAGCACCAAAAAGCACCACGCCATCCGTGACCTTCCTTTTCTTCCTCTTCTTTTTCTTGACTCCTAACTTAACCTTCACTCGATCCCTCTTTGTTATCCCTAAGCTTTCTTGCTCGGTGCCTGGGCTCACTCTGCTTCATTCAATTGGTGAACAGTGGTCCAAGACTGACAACCAACCCGGCTTTTTCCTTCTTCCTGGTTCTTCGGTTCTTCACTGAAGACCAACAAGACTCAATAATTATAATCCGATAAATACCGTCTCTGCAGCTTACGACCCCAGAGCCCCGCCTCCGTCTACTCTTATTCCTCTTCCCTGGCGTCTTCGTTGATAAGCCAGTCTCTTGCCTTTGTCTTCAATTCAGACCCTCATTGGTCGCTTACTCGGTCTAACTAGTACATTTGTACATACTTACATCTGACTATCTGCGTCGGTGCCCCGCCAATTCCGACAGCATGCCTTCCCTCGAGAACCCCACCTTCCAAAGTGAGGCTCGGTTGCTCCTCGTCTCCAATCGGCTTCCAATCACCATCAAGCGATCGGATGATGGTCGCTATGACTTCTCCATGTCCTCCGGTGGCCTGGTCAGCGGATTGAGTGGCCTGTCCAAGTCCACGACTTTCCAATGGTACGGCTGGCCCGGTTTAGAGGTCCCGGAGGAGGAGATTCCCGTCGTGAAGCAACGCCTGAAGCAGGAGTATAACGCCGTGCCAGTGTTCATTGATGATGAGCTGGCAGATCGTCACTACAATGGCTTCTCTAGTTAGTATTATCAATCTCCTTATCATACCGAGGATCTGTGATGGTTGCTCCCTCATTGATCCCGGCTGAAGGCGCTTGCTTGCTGACAGATGCCCACTGCCCACAGACTCTATTCTCTGGCCCCTCTTCCATTACCATCCCGGTGAGATTACCTTTGACGAGTCCGCCTGGGAGGCATACAAGGAGGCCAACCGCCTCTTTGCCAAAGCGGTTGCGAAGGAAGTTCAAGATGGCGACTTGATTTGGGTGCATGATTACCACTTGATGCTCCTTCCCGAGATGCTGCGCGAGGAGATCGGCCAGAGCAAGGAAAATGTCAAAATTGGCTTCTTCCTCCACACGCCCTTCCCTAGCAGCGAAATCTACAGAATCCTCCCAGTGCGGAACGAGTTGTTGCTCGGTGTTCTGCATTGCGACCTGATCGGGTTCCATACCTACGACTACACTAGGCACTTCTTGAGTGCTTGCTCGCGACTCTTGTAAGTATTGGATTGACTACATCCTCTTCAAAAGCAATGGAGGTGCTAATATCATGGATACCCAGGGGCTTAACGACTACACCTAATGGGATTGAGTTCCAGGGCAAGATCATTGCTTGCGGTGCCTTCCCTATTGGCATCGACCCGGAGAAGTTTGAAGAGGGGTTGAAGAAGGAGAAGGTCCAGAAACGCATTGCGATGCTGGAACAAAAATTCCAGGGCGTGAAGCTCATGGTGGGCGTCGACCGCCTGGATTACATCAAGGGTGTTCCCCAAAAATTGCATGCCCTCGAGGTGTTCCTCAGCGATCATCCGGAGTGGGTGGGCAAGGTTGTCCTGGTTCAGGTTGCTGTTCCTAGCCGACAAGATGTGGAAGAATACCAGAACTTGAGGGCTGTTGTGAATGAGCTGGTGGGCCGGATCAACGGCAAATTTGGTACGTATCGCGCTGCCTATGGGCGACACCCTATAGCTGACGGATGATCAGGCACGGTTGAATTTATGCCTATCCATTTCCTGCACAAGTCGGTCAATTTTGACGAGCTAATTGCTCTGTACGCGGTTTCCGACGCCTGCATTGTTTCGTCGACCCGCGACGGAATGAACCTCGTGGCCTATGAGTACATCGCCACGCAGAAGAAGCGTCATGGTGTCTTGGTGCTTTCCGAGTTCGCGGGTGCCGCTCAGAGCCTGAACGGCAGTATCATTATCAACCCGTGGAACACCGAAGAGCTGGCGGGTGCTTATCAGGAAGCGGTAACCATGAGCGACGAGCAGAGAGCCCTCAACTTCTCCAAGCTCGACAAATATGTTAATAAATATACAAGGTTCGATCATATCTGAGATGGCGAGGATCTTTGACACTGACTATGTTTCTAGTGCATTCTGGGGCCAGTCCTTCGTGACCGAACTGACTCGCATCTCGGAGCATTCAGCGGAGAAGTTCCATGCTAAGAAGGCTTCTTTCAGCGACAACAACTCCGAGAACGGGGAACCTTCTAACGGTGTAGATACCCCGGACCAGGAGCAAGTGGCACAGTGAGCTTGGTGCCTCCGCTTTGTATGATTGTTTACGGCCGAGGATCCATTGAATATGGCGATGCGTGCATGATTGATTTAAGACGTCTATTTTACTGGTATATGAGCACAAGGCGTGGCGAAGGGCTTCTTCCTACAGTTTTACATCTCGGTTTCGCGTATGGAATAGTACAAGAGTGAACACTGTGTTCTGGCCTTAATTCCAGGGTATGGTTGGGCAACAGACATCGGAGCGTTTGGTTTTTCCAGTGTACATGGGAGCATATCGCGATCCCTCGGCCATTGGTCCCTCTCTACTCTACAATATGCGTTGGGCGTCGGTGTTATTAGGATTTCAGTGGCATAAAATAGTCGGCGGTTCATTTCATGTTACATATAAACACATAGTTACACACCAAATATTGCATTCATTAATGATTATTATTCATTTAGTTGTGGTGCTAAGGAGGTTTGCATGTGTGTAGACACCCTGCGGAGGATGCGTAGAGAAGAGTTATGCAAAACATGCAAACATGCCCGAGATTTCAGAAATTCTCGGCGAACTCGTCCGCGGCCGCGATGCTCCTCCGGCCTGGACAGCAAGCCTCGCAGCAAGCCCCATCGTGCTCAACAGGGTCAATCGACAATTAATTGCTATCTCGCTGAGCGGATAGACTCTCAACTTTTCTCGGAGTATCCCGAAGGCCGATAATTCCTGTCGTACCCCGTGCCCGGCACCGCCGCAACGTCTACAAAAACTCCCGTCCAAGCGGATTGACCTGGCCGTGCTTCCTCCCCAGCACCATCTCTACAACAAAAGGAGCATTCGGTCCTTCATACACACCACCACAATGCGTCCCGCCAATTTCCTCCGGGCTCTTCAGCCCCTGCGCTCCTCCATGATGCGCTCCACCACCACCACTTCCTCCACAACAGCGCCCTCTCTATACCAGACCACCCTGCGCTCCCTCACGACCACCGTCCCCCGACTCAACGAGCAACAGCAACAACAACCACAACAACAAGAAGCCGACCTATCTTCTTCCACTACTACTACCACCACCGCCGTTCCCCCCTCCCTCCGCAGCTACCCCTACAAGACCAAGACCGGCACCGTCGTCTCCGTCGGCCGCATGGACCGCACCGTCCGCGTCAGCCACCGCCACACCATCTGGGACGCACACATCCAGAAGCCCTACCCCAAGATAACGAACTACCTGGTGTCGGACCCGCGGAACTCGCTGCGCGAGGGCGACGTCATTGAGTTCTCGTCCGGCTACCCGAAGAGCCGGAATGTGCGCCACGTTGTGGAGAGAATCATTGCGCCGTTTGGATCTGCCATTGAGGATAGACCCGCAGTTTTGACTCGTGAGGAGAGGGATGCTGAGCGTGCGGCTAAGAGGGCTGCTAAGTGGGAGCGTAGAGAGGCGAGGAGGGCCGAGGCTGGTGTGTCTGAGAGTGAGGGGAAGGGTGGGGAGCATGTTGGGAGGATTAGGAGGTTGGTGCTTGAGAGGACTGGGGGATTTGAGGTTTAGGTTGTGTTTTGATTGAGTGAGTGGGTTTGATTGAGGATTGGAGAATGAGGAGGGTAGAGATGAGAGGCTAGATAGATGGATGGGTTGGTCTGGTTGTTGTGGGGTTGGTTTCCTTTTATCTCTTATCTGTTCGAATATGTTGTATGTAAACATTGTGTGTCTGTATATTACTAGCTATTTACTTCTTCATGGCATATTGTGCTTTTGGCTTGGATTGGCTGTTGGGTTGGTTGGTTGTGTGTAGTTGTGTAGCTGGTTTGGTTGAGCACCTTTTCTGCGATATCACCAGGGTCTGAGGGCTTATATCAAATGTGCAATCCAGTGTAGCAAGGCACTATTACCCTTTGTGCATAGTATACATCTACTGCAATTATCTATTTGGGATTACACAGTAGTATTTCTAAGTGCGATGTCCGGTAGTTCCCACGCACGGTATACAGCGACATCCTCAATTAGTCTAGACTACTTCATGCAACATACATGCAGGCAAATTGATAAAAACATGAAATAAATAGGCCATGACATTTTATCCTATGATATATACGGAATAATCCAGGTGAAATGCAGATACTGTTCTGAAGAACAATCACGTGACTATCATCTTACTTGCGGGGTTGAGTATAGACTCGAATATACAATATTTTGAATGATAAACTACTATTACTCTATAAGGTACTATCAGTAATTACGCATGTATTATATACTGTTCTTCGGAACATGTCTGTCAAAACGACATAAAGTAACCTCACCTTCACACAGTAAATATATGCCGGCAGATGTACTCCCATGTACTCCTACCTACATCACAGGGGACAACCTCCACGAACAGTGAAACAACCAAAACCACATCATGGAAAGAACCAGCATTCACCAAACTCAAAACATACATAATATATATATTATCTTCCATATATCTACTACTACATATCCACCCAATTACTATAGAATTTCCTCCCAAATTGGTACCTGAACGGGCAGTCAGTTCTCGAAAGTTGGTTCGCCGCCAAGCCAAGCCTTTTCCATTGGGTCGCGAAAGTCACCCCAGCGACTCTTGATCCGTTGTTTACTTTCCAGCTTCCCTTTTCTCTCTCCTCTCTCAACTGTCTTGTTGACTTCATCAGTTTCTCCCCCCACTTCCGCCTCCATTAAACCTTTTTCTTCTTTCTTTCCCCCCTCTCCTGACGTCGCGATCCTCCTCCACCCCCCCTTTTTTTCGACACTCCATACTTTCACGAAAACTAGTGACTTTATTCATCCGGCGAACCTAACCCGAAGCAAAAAGCCCCTCTCAATCAGAACCAACCTTTCTGTCAGTCAACTCTCCGCCGCCGCCGCCGCCCGTGCACGAGATCTGCGATCGGAATATACGCTACTACGAATCAACCCCAAGGTGTGTGTGCGTGTTTGTGTGTGTGTGCGCTTTATTCAAGTTGTTAGCGATAAGGGTCCGTCGCTATTTGGGGTTCAAGTTATAAGCCACTTCAGTGATTGGACTGCACGCTTGCGAATTAACCAAAACGGAGTTTGATGCTAACTGATTGCCATTTTACAGACTTATTTTTAGATATTCAATATGGCCGAGGAGGAGGATTTCTCTTCCTTGCCATTGACGGATCGGTTCTCGCACAAGGTTAGTTTGTCGCTGTTTTGCTCCCGTTTCCCCCATGTTTCGGGCTCGCGGGGTTGTTGTTATATCTCTGAATACTGACATGTCTATGCTCTCGGATTAGAACTGGAAAGCCCGCAAGAATGGATATGAGGATGCGAAACAACAATTCGAGAAGTCGCCTGATGAGTCGGATCCCGTTTTCACGCCATTCATACAAGATCCCGGCTTGTGGAAAGGGGCTGTGGCAGACTCCAATGTTGCGGCTCAACAAGAAGGTCTTGGATCTTATTGCGCATTCTTAAAATTTGGTGGCGTTCAGGCTTGTACAAGGTATGTGTCATGGAACATTGATACTGTGTGACTAATTTATGGTGGTTGATGGCTAACGTGTGTGATGAAGGACCCGAGCAACCACCGTCTTCCCGATATGTGAAAAGGGTCTCCCATCCACGCGACCCGCTGCCAAAACGAATGCGATCGAAGCCCTGTTATTATGTGTTGAGCTGGATAAATCGGACCCCGTCATCGAAGAAATGCTCCCCGCTCTGTCACACAAAGTTCCCAAGGTTATTGCCGCTGCGCTGGCCGGACTGAGAGCAATCTATCACAACTTTGGTTGCAAGATTGTTGACCCCAAGCCTGTGTTGAAAGCCTTGCCAAAGGTTTTCGGCCATGCTGACAAGAACGTCCGTGCGGAAGCGCAAAACCTCACTGTGGAACTTTACCGCTGGCTGAAGGAAGCCATCAAACCGCTTTTCTGGAACGAACTCAAGCCCGTACAACAACAGGATTTGGAGAAGCTGTTCGAAAATGTTAAGCAAGAGCCGGCGCCCAAGCAGGAGAGGTTCACGAGGGCACAGCAAGATGCCATGGCCGCAGCCAGCGCTGCGCCAGAGGGTGATGACGATGAGTTTGAAGGAGGCGAGGAATACCCGGCAGAGGAAGATGAAGGCGAAGTCGATGCTTTCGACCTGGCCGAGCCCGTTGATGTTTTCTCCAAGATCCCCGGTAACTTCCAGGAGCAACTTTCTTCTTCTAAGTGGAAGGACAGGAAAGAGGCCTTGGACGCTCTGCATACTGTATTGAACGTTCCCCGGATCAAGGATGGACCGTTCGATGACGTTATTCGTATGTTGGCTAAATCCATGAAGGATGCAAACATCGCCGTTGTAACCGTTGCCGCCAACTGTATCGAACTTCTTGCCAAGGGAATTCGCAGTGGATTCGTCAAGTATCGGCCTACCATCATGTCACCCATGCTGGAGCGCTTGAAGGAAAAGAAGCAGAGTGTGGCGGATGCCCTGGGTCAAGCTTTGGACGCAGTCTTCATCGCGACTAGCTTGTCAGAGTGCCTGGAGGAGATTCTTGAGTTCCTTAAGCACAAGAATCCTCAAGTTAAGCAGGAAACGCTCAAGTTCTTGATCCGTTGCCTACGTACAACCAGAGATGTCCCGGCGAAACCGGAAGTCAAGTCGATAGCCGAGGCAGGCACGAAACTCCTTACTGAATCTACTGAAGTCAACCGTGCCGGAGGAGCCGAAGTTCTCGGTACCTTGATGAAGATCATGGGTGAGCGGGCGATGAACCCCTATCTGGACGGTCTCGATGACATCAGGAAGACCAAAATCAAGGAATTCTTCGAAACAGCGGAGGTCAAGGCAAAGGATAGACCTAAGCCGATCGTGGCACCGCCGAAACCTGCCCCTGGAAAGAAGGTCGTGGCGAAGAAGCCTGCACTGGGAGCCAAGAGGCCGGCTGCTGCCGCGCCTCCTGTCGAGGAACCCGTAGCTGCTCCGTCACCCAAGCCCGCAAGGTCCGTTCCTTCTAAGCTTGGAGGGCCCGCCAAACCTGGTGGTCTGCCGGCTCCTGGCGGTCTCAAGAAGAGGCTCGGTGGCCCTGGAGGAATTGCATCTCCGCAGCGGCGGGTTGTCTCTCCTCCCACGGAGGAGCAGCCGCCTGCACCAGCACCTCCCAAATTTGGTCTGGGTAGAGGACTTGCAGGCCGTCCGATTGCGAAACCAGCAGCTCCCAGCGAGCCTGCGCCCGCACCTGCAGCTCCTCAATTCAGCGGAATCTCGGCTCTGGAACGAGCTGAGTTGGATGAGCTACGTGCGGAGAAGGAGCGGTTCATGCGTATGGTTGAGGACCTGAGGTCCGAGAGAACTAAGCTGAACTCGCAAGTGATGGAGCTTCAAGACCAGAACGCGCAGCTAATTGAAGACCACACAAGGGATGTCCTGAGTATCAAGGCCAAGGAAACCCAACTGGTTCGCGCACGAAGCGATGCGGAGTCAGCAGAGCAGACTGTACAAAAGCAGCAGCGGGAAATTGAGCGCTTGAAGCGTGAGCTCGCAAGGGCTCTTCGTGCTAGTGCCATTAGCCCTCCTAACACCCTACCAGAAAATATCGGTATGCCTATGTCCGAATCAGGCTCCGTATACCAAGAAGATGGCCGTGCACCGATGTCACGGGCAGGTCTCATGGGCTCGCGATTCGAGAGCTCACGGCCGCGCTCCTATGCTTCGGCTAGCCCAAGTGAAGAGAAGGAGAACAATGGCCTGGAATCCTCAGGACTTAGCGCTAGAGAGGCAGGACTTGGTCGGCGCAAGCTCAGTCCTAGCTTGGGTACCGGCTACTCTGGCTTGGGAAGTCCGACTCGGTCATCAGGACTGGGCTCGGGCAGTGCTTCTGGCGAAGAACAACCCGCCAGGAGTGCCGAGCCAGCGGAGAGCTGGAAGAGAGCTGCAGAAGTTACCAGCCAACTCAAGGCAAGAATCGAACAAATGAAGGTACGGATCAACGATAACCTGGTTCCTTGATCTGTTCCTGGCGAAATATTGGCTGACTTGAAAATGAAACAGGCAAGACAAGGGCTTACACGACCACCTTCTCAACGCTGATGAATGAATGAATGACACGACTACTCTCCACCTTCTACTCCTACCTCTTCCCCGGAAGTGTTCTTCATTCTCATTTCGCTGCGTTAGCTTCATTGTCTCTTTTATCTTCTCATTGGGCGGGTCTTTCGGTCAATATCCTTCTTCCACTACCACCGTCTATACACACTAGTTCGGATTGCTTTTGCGTTTTTCATTACATTGGGGTGTGCGCGGACATTCTCTTGCCTGGACTGGGAAACAATTGGGTTCAAGGGGGGCATCTGGTTGCATTGATTTGTTTTTGTGTTTTTCTTGTTTGTGTTTTGCTCCATACCATCATACTATACCATTGCCATACCTTGTTTTTGCTTGAGTGATTACATGACTTGATTGATGTATAGACAACCAAACCTTTCTGTACCATGTTTTAATGTGATGCTGTATTGTACGGGTCATGACTTGCTTGCTCTATGGGCATGGTTGGCTTGCACTGCATCAGCAGTTAATTTGTGGGGCCGGACTAAAGGGCTAGACCAGAGCCTAAGACAAATTTTCTTTCAAGAATTTCTTACTACCCACTTGAACACACAAGTTATCGATCTAAGACTTTTACGACTTACTTGTTCTACAACTAAGATGTACATATTGCAGACGTCACATGAATGCTCAAACTCCCAAGACAACTTCCTACAAAGTTCACACACACAAAAAAAGATAACAAAA